ATTTGAGTATTGAATCATAGAATTTTCCATAGTAGACCTATAGGCCATCTAATTTAGTATTTGGTAATTGCAGCAGATAATTCAGGGGAAGGTTAAAAAAAGCCAGCATGCTCTTGGCCAGTTATAATTCTACACCTTGGTAGAGCAAGAGGGGAAGGTGCATGGAATTTTCTTTCTGACTTTAGCTGATGATTAATGTATTCACTATAGCATGAGGATCAATAATCTTCATGATTTCTATCCCCTGTAGTGCAGATGCTATTCTGATTTATATCAATTACTAATTTGAAATTGACTATACTATTCAGTTTTTTAAAAGTGAAGACATAGCCAGAGAGTATTTCTATACTACGGAGAAGATCAACCCTCCAGAGGTCGATCTTCTAGTGTTCAATTTACTGGGTCTAGTGTAGATGCCCAAATCAAATGCTGAGGGCAGCCCCCACCAGCATGCTGTACTCCTCATTCTGTGAGGAGTAAGGGAAGCCGATAGGAGCATATGCTCCTGTTGGCCTCCCGCAGTGTAGATGCTGCGGCAGCTCAGTTTGAGGTAATCCGAATCCAGCTATGCAAAATGCATAGTTGGATGGCGTACCTTAAGCCAACCTACCTTGTCTAGTGTAGACCAGGCCAGAGTGTATTGTTACTAGTTTTAGATATTACAGAAGGTCGCAGCCATATCTCACCAATTATAACCAAAACTGGTCAAAATTGTTCAATATGCTTTTTCATTAAAAACATACCTTTTTTCAAACATGTGTTTTCTGTAAAAAATTATTTACTACAGCTAGTTAACAAATTTCTGATAAAACATTTTGCCACCAGAAAATGGGCTTTTGTTAAAGTCACAAGTTTCCGTGTTAGGGAGAAAGGGGACAGGAATGATTTCCGCTGAATTTTCTTGTCTGGAAAATCAAAAGTCAACCTTTATGCCTGGCTTCACCCAAAACAAAACATTTCATTTGGGTCACCTGATTATTAACCTCTGTTTGCCAGAGAGGCTGCAGTGCCTAATGGGAACTGTACTTCTAGTTCCCTCATCTCCCCAATCTTGCCTTTGATCCCTCCTCACTAGCCCAACTACATCTGCCAGGATGTAGCCTAGTTGCTCTTTTATTTTGATTCAGTTTAAACAGATTCCTAATCAAATCATGCTAGACTACAATAAGCCAGGTTTAAACCCCAATAGGAGTGTTCACGCAGAGGGTCGCACCTGTTCATTACATTGGCTTAAAATCACAACTTTAGTTAAACTGGAGCAACTGCTCAATGTCAAAGCTACACACAGATCCTTCCTCAAGATAGGCCCCTGACTTTCTTTCCATCCTCACAGTTTTCTATGAAGTACTGCTCTCTCCTTCTCCACAACCCTTCCTAGACATCTTAACTGCTTCACCTTCAAAGGAAAATGGTGATACATTTTATATTTTTGGCCCAAGTTGAGTGGTCTGATTATTGTTGATCATGACATTTAGGATAAGTCTACATGGGCCTGCAGTACATTCTGTGTGGCTGTGGACTGAAGCATGTGCTGCTGTGCTGCACTGTAACTCCACCAGGTGAAAAAAGTGGGTGCAAACGAGGTACCTTTTGGGATCATTACTGTGCAGCATGTTAGTGCACACTGAAATGCACTGAAAGAATTGAGCTTGTTTAGTTTGGAAAGGAGAAGATTGAGAGGGGACATGATAGCGATTTTCAGGTATCTAAAAGGGTGTCACAAGGAGGAGGGAGAAAAATTGTTCTCCTTGGCTTCTGAGGATAGGACAAGAAGCAATGGACTTAAACTGCAGCAAGGGAGATTTAGGTTGGACATTAGGAAAAACTTCCTAACTGTCAGGGTGGTTAAAACACTGGAATAAATTACTTAGGGAGGTTGTGGAATCTCCATCTCTGCAGATATTTAAGAGCAGGTTAGATAGGCATCTATCAGGGATCTTCTAGGCACTACTGGGTCCTGCTGAGAGGGCAGGAGACTGGACTCGATGACCTCTCAAGGTCCCTTTCAGTTCTAGTGTTCTATGATTCTATGAGTCCTCAGAATGCAGCCTGATATTGTCTAACCCACTCATGGAGGGGAATGAGAAAGGGGCTGTTCCTTCTTTGAGTCCCAGCAATTCAAACTATTTCAATGGGGACAAGGAGGAGGTTGGATCACACTTCCCCTACATTTCCCAGCAGCAGGGATGCATGTCCAAAGGAACATGCTGTACAGACATCTGCATAGAGATATTTTCTGAGAGGGCTAGTGCTTTGTGAGGTATGTTGCATTCTGGAGTTTGCTCTGCAATAACAAAACTTCACTCAGTCCCCAGCACTGGGCTACACCTCAGTGCCAAAGCTGAGCTCCAAGATTTATTGTCCTTTGTTTCATGAATCTTGCTTTTAACCTGAAAAGAAGCCAAAATATAGATATTGCTTTTGCCGAGGAATGAATCAAACTGTGAGGCTGCTTAGAGTTACAAATCATATTGACAAGCCAAACTAATATCAGGAATTGGGATTCTTATTCTTTAAAAATGTCTAATTAGTTATTAGAGTTTTTATATTCATGTGAAACAAATGGGACCCAGTGAACATAAGAACAGCCATACTGGGTCAGATCAAAGGTCCATCTAGCCCAATATCCTATCTTCCAACAGTGACCAGTGCCAGATGCACTGAGAGAGTGAACAGAACAGGTAATCATCAAAGGATCCCTTGCCTGTCGCCCATTTTTAGCCTCAGATAAGCAGATGTTAGGGACATCATTCTGAACTATCCTGGCTATAGCCATTGATGGACCTATCCTTCATGAATGTATCTAGTTCTCTTTTGAACCTGGTTAAAGTCCTGGTCGTTACAACATCCTCTGGCAAGGAGTTCCACAAGTTAGCTGTGCACTACATGAAGAAAATCTTGTTTGTTTTAACCCACTATCTATTAATTTCATGTGGTGACCCATAGTTCATATGTCATGGGACCAAGTAAATAACTTTTCCTTATTAATTTCTCCATACCTATCATGATTGTATAGACCTCTATCATATCCCTCCTTAGACTCCTCTTTTCTAAGCAGAAAAGTCCAAGTCTTTTTAATCTCTTTTCATATGGCATCCATTCCAAACCCCCAATCAGTTTTGTTGCCTTTTTCTGAACCTTTTCCAATGCCAATTTATCTTTTTGGAGATGAGGCGACTACATCTGTATGCAGTATTCAAGATGTGGGCATACCATGGACTTATATAGAGGCAATAAGATTTTCTTTGTCTTATTCTATATCCCTTTTTGAATGATTCCTAACATTCTATTTGCTTTTTTGACTGCTGCTGCACATTGAGTTATCAAGTACTGGTTCTGCTGTGCTGTGCCCGGGCACATTCCTTCCCTATAGATAGAAACACCTGTCTTGAGCAGAGAGACTTCCTCAGCTACAGTGCAACTGCTCAGCTCCTGCCTAGCAACTCCAGTCTGTGGTATTCCAATATCACAATGCTAGGAGGACACAATACCTCTTCTCCCACGGAGGACTGGGGGATAATCATCATCACTGTTGTCAATAGCTGGTTGTTGTATCAATTTAATATGCTTCAAAGGGGATGGTGTCATTATCTCAGTTTTACAGAAACTGAGGCACAGTGAGAAGTGACTCACCAGAGATTATGCAGCCGGTCAAAAGGCTGAGGCCGTGGCCCTTGAGCCCCAGAACTGTCTGGCAGCTCAAAAATGGATCTACCATTCAGGAAAGACAAAGACTAGTTAGGGCTGATGCTACAAAATCCAGCCAAAAAAAAAAAAAAAAAAGAGGGATGTGGGGAAAGAACAATCCCTGATCCCTCAGTATCCAGCACTGATTCTGGGGACTCTCACTCAGTAACTCACAAATTCTAAGCTCTTCTGAAAGTGACCCATTAACCCAGAGTGTAGTGACACTCAGGCTATGTCTACACATCAACATTATTTTGAAATAACAGTCCACATTCTCAAAACTGGCAATTATTTCAACATAATGTTGAAATGATGTCAAGCTGGAGGACTTCTTACTCCGACTCCTGTAACCCTCATTTTATGTGGAGTGAGGTAAGTTGCAGAAAGAGTGCTCTATTTCGAAATAAGTGCTGTATTGACAGCACCAAACCTCGAAATAAGCTATTTCGAAATAAGCTACTCAGTTGACAAAGCTCAGTTTGCATAGTTTATTTCAAGTTAGGCCCTTCTGTGTAGACATGTCCTCAGAGACTCTCCACTCTACAAGCTGCAGTAATACCTGTCAACATAGCCAGATTAGGCCCTTGTTACTTCTGCTGAATAGTCAACTTACTCCACAAGTAAGACAGAGAAAATCAATAGGGCTATGTGCATGAGTTTATTCACCCATGTGAGTAAAATCTGCATGATCTGGTACTTAGATGCTGATACCAATAGCTTAACAGAGATGGAATCAGAGATTTAGAGAGACCATTATGGCCGTTTAGTCTCATCTCCTGTATAGCAACGGTGATACTCAGTGATGCCTGTATGTTGCCCACCAACTTGCTGTTGAAATGAAGACCGAACATTTACAATATCTCTTGCCAACTTGTTTCAATTGTTAATTTCCCTCTGTTTAAAATTTGCATGTTATTTCCATTTTGAATTTTGCGAGGTTCAACTTTAAGCCATTAGCTCTCCGTTGTCTGTTAGACTAATTAGATCTCTTCCATCACATACCTTGTCCCTATGTAGGCAATTATGGACTGTGATAAAATCACCTCTTAACCTACTCTTTGAGCTACATACATTTGATCTCTTTTATTCCTTTTGTGTAAATCATGCTTTCAAAATCATTCTTGGTCTCTCATTTTTTCAATCTCTCTCTCTATATAAAAAGACTTTTCCTGCGGGATGACAGTGTATTGTCATGGGTCACTTTGTGTCCTGCAGCCCCACCCT